ACGCTGGGTTAGCAGCAGACGCTGGGTTAGCAGCAGACGCTGGGTTACCAGACTCACTGTTTTCTCATTAGGTACTTCACAACTCTCCTTTGCTGCTTTTGGTGCTGGGATTGAAATCAAGGGCATCCGTGATATTTAGAAATGTCTAAATTTTGATTAGAATTTTCTACTGTTTTTTAGTAGTTACTGAAACAAATACTCATGCTGCTTGGTAAGAATCCAGCTCTGAAAAGTAAGAAGAGCACCTTTTTGGGGCACTAATAAACAATGTTTAGCAGACACTTAGAAACTGCTTTTGCTAGAAGGCTGGGGAGAAGGCTCAGGTCGTTAAAAGTGCTTGATGCAAACATAAGGACATGAGTTTGATATCCAGAGACCCCCTCCAAAAAAATAAAAAAAAATAAAAAAAGGCTGGGTCTTGTAGAGTGCTTTTAATCCTGTGATGGGAAGGCAGAGACAGGATCTTTGTGACCAGCCAGTCCAGCCTCATTGGTGAGAGTTTCATGTCAATGAGAGAGCCTGTCCTCAATGGAGGTGGATGTTGTTTCTGAGGCTAGAATCTGCACTTGTCCTTTGGCTTTCACATGCATATATACATGCACCTGCATACACTGGAACACGTGCACACACCCATACATGGAAAAAAGAAAAAACTCCTGATCTTCCTAAAAATCATTACCTTCTCATTTAGGCCCCCATATAAGTCTGGCACCTCTGCCTTCATTTTACGTCTATCCCTTCTACTTTCCCTTTCTTGTTATGTTTTAATCACCCAAGGAATGCCTATGAAAAAATCCACAATAACTAACTTATTCCATTGCCCTTCAAGACAAGACTAAAGGAGGTCTCTTGGTATTTTTTTTTTTTTTTTACCAATTCCTGCTCCAGGCACCTAAAAGGTGCCTAAAGTTCTCCAGTCATTATCCTAAACCAGTAGTCCTTTGGAGTCTGTCCCCCAGATTAGGACAGTTATCTACAACAAGGATTACAGTATGAGCAACCATCTCCTGAGAAGCACCCTGTCCCCTCCAACAGTAAGAACTTCTACAGCCCACCTTACTGAACCAGAACTGAGTCAACAATTTGTTGATCACAAGGTGATTCACACAAAGTATTGGCTACACCTTGACAAAGGCTGACAATTATGCATAGCTCTTGACTTCTTGCCTCAATTTGTCCTCTATTTAAAATCCATAGCTGGCTGGGATGTGGTGGCACAAGCCTTTAATCCCAGCACTCGGGAGGCAGAGACAGGCGAATTTCTGTGAGTTCGAGGCCAGCCTGGTCTACAAGAGCTAGTTCCAGGACAGGCTCCAAAGCTACAGAGAAACCCTGTCTCGAAAAAAACCAAATGACACTTATCTGTTTCTGTTTTCGATGTGCGCATGTGATTAACTCTCCTTTTCCTGCTCTTTGCAATTTTTCATTTGTTTCTTGAATTGGCATATTAGGATGGGTAGCCTACTCTGTTAGAGCTATTGGAGAAGGGGCTTGAACTCTAGGTACAGATGGGTCTCCCATGATTACGGCTTCTTGTAATAGACATGAAAGCCTGAGAGCAGTAGAACTGGAAACAGGGCTGTGGCCAGACACCACATCCTGAAGAGAACAGGAGGTTGAGTGAGCTTGAACAAACCACATCTTTGAGTAACAGGATTGCACTTCACTTCTAGAGCTAACTGCCTTGGGTAAGCATTGAACTGAACAATGCTTACTACCATGGCCCTCTTTGAGAGAACTCATGATCTTTAGTATGTAATGTTCTAAATGTGCACAAAATAAGATGCGTTCTTGTCTTGTATATCAGTTTCCCTCTTAATGCCCTGAGCTTCTGATTGGTCAGATGGACAATTTAAAAGGCCAGTTACAGCCAGATTAGATACTAGCATGAAGAGGCAAAAATAACTTCCCATTTGAAACACGTAAGTTCAAGTATGACTAAGTTATCTCATGTCCTCTGGCTTTTGGCTTTGATGGGTACTGGTACGTGTGACCTTGAGCACCCTCCTGCTCCCCAAGTTCACATAGTCAGTAAAAACAGCTCACCATGGGTTGCAAAACTGAATGGGAACATGGCCACTTTCTGGACCACTCTTACTGAAGTACTCCAAAGGAATCCTGAAACCAGATTTAAAAACTGCACCTGATACATGCACCAAGAAAATTCAGCTCAAGGCAGAAGCTGAACTTGGGGAAGATAACATTTCCAAGAGGCAGATCATAAGGATCAGAGAAGAACACTTTGATCAGATGCTAGAAGTAGTAATCACATAAGAACATTTACACATGGACAAATAAAGCAGAATTTTGAAGAGGTGAATGATGGGAACAGAAAGAACCAAAACAAACAAACAAAAAATTATAAAACCTCCTTGTAACAAAGGAGCACTTTTTATTTCCTAGAGAACTTACAACTTGGTTAATATTCTTGAACTGTCTCCCTGAAAAGTAACATTTTTGCTAGTGTATTATCACCTGATGTTAATTTTTTCTACTACTGGAAATATTTTCTACTTCTTAGAAATTTTCCACCATTTTACTAGTAGTGTCACGTTAGGCGCCCCTGTTACTCCTCTGAGCCTCGTTCCCACCACTATTCCTCACACAGTCTCTGTTCTCTCCTTTCAGTTATTTTCACAAGGTTTTTCTGGAACCATTTTGATTTACTGTTTCTTCCATTCTCTAATTCAGAGCATGTGAAGTTTGCATAATACATCACATCTTCATTGAATTTTAAGAAACTCCAGTTTGTGGTTAGTCATCCTATTTCTTTGACCTCCACATGCCACTAGAACCGTGACAGAAACTCCAATAAATATCTGTGTGAACTGCACTGTTCAAGAAAAATACAGACCACTAAAATACAAAACAGTTAAGAATGCAACAATGGTCACTTTTTAAGGTGTTGTCCATCTTGGGGAATTCAAGGGGCTTGCTGGATATGCAAAACTCTGAGTTCTATTCCCAGAACTGCCAAAAGAGAAATGGCTTTTATAAAGGCAGGGGGAGGCTGGTTTTGCAGTGGGACAATGGGGAGAAAGCTATGGGCCCATCCCTCCTTCCCTTGCTGGCAGTTACCTTTGCCTTTTCTGCCTTTTGTTACTCTACATGCTGAAGAAAAGTATAGCAAAATGATGAAGATGGTAATTGCCAAACAATTTTTATATTTATAGATCCCAAACTTCTGGTGACTTTCAGATAACATCAGAATGTGTAGCCCTCCTTGTTCTTTTAATTCTCTGCATCAATCAACTTAGAGCATACAAATTGTTGTGAAGGTTAACTTGTAGAAAACTAGTATGTTTGTAACTAGCCCAGAAGGTGAAGGGAAATGGGCACAGAGCTTTCTGCCCATTGTACCACTACACAAGGCAGACTTTCCCTCCCTATAAAAGCCCTTTCTTGTAACTCAGTTCTCTGAGGTAGAGTTTTGCTAATGATAGCCCTCTCCAGCTTCTCAGGATCAATCTTGGAATAAACCCGATTTTTCATCTTCTACATACTGGATGAATGGTAAGCAGATGGGGTGGAACTGGGTCTGAAAACAAGAAGTGGCAAAACTGGGCTAGGGATGTAGGTAGCTCAGTGGTACAGTGCTAAATGTACATAGCTCTTATACATAGCTCTGGCTATGTGTATTTACCCTTCATTTAGTGGTTCACTCACAGACTGACTAAACAATCTTGCATGTAAGCTTATTTTCATAATTTGTTATGACTACTAACTTGTTCTGAAACACATTTGCTACTTCCAAGGATCCCCAAATCCATCATAAAATGCTCTAACTGATGTACTCACTACTACTTCAACTCCAAATGAAGGTAGCACATTCCAATTTGAAGTGGAGAAAGAGTTGGTTTTAGGAACCAAACTGGGTTCCTGTCCCTGGGAATAGTCTGTGTACACAGTGAGTATCTCTGGGCATCAGCCTTTTAAACCTCAAAACAGCCTCATGATCACTGATGACTATGCGGTTTAATCCAGCAGAGTGATGCTGGATTCGATCAAGCTGGCAAAAGTAAGAAAACTTGACGTTTTGTTTTCCTCTAGTCTTGGAAAAGATAGATTGCAAAGAAGCCATCCACAGACAATTTTGGAATTAAGCTTAAAGACAAATTTATATCGGTATTTTACTGAGTTACTGGAGAACAGCTCCTTCTGTCATGCTCACAGAGAAATAATTAGTTATGTGGGATTAAGTCTTTGAATGTAACTTTAGCCAATCACAATAGTAAAGCTAACTACTTCAGAAAATAATCATAAGGAAGTATACTAAATATGTTTATAGGTGGATTGCCCACTAACTTCCTCCCACTAAAGAAATAGAGAAATAAGCAATGTTTTTTTTTTGTTTTTTGTTTTGAGGGAAGAGGTAGTTGCTACATTTTCCATAACTATTGAATTTCTTCAATACTCTAATTTCCTTTTTCTCCCCATTGTAGTTGCTGTCATGCAAGACTATTCATACTGGTTAAGGATACTGGAAGAGTGAAGATCGGAGAATTGTGAGTCTGAAATTTGCATCACTAACCTGAACAGTATAATATTAGTCAGCATAAGCTTCTCATACAGGTAAGGGTGATTCTCTGTTCAGTTTTAGCTTAACGATTAACTAAAATGTCTGAAAGGAGTCAACTGTTTGAATTGTGAAAACTGATCATTAAGTGAGGTAGTCAGCATAGTAAGTATCTAACTAGCCATGAGTAACTGCTAGAGTTGTAGACATCTTCTCACTTCACTTGTCACATTAGCAGAGAGCCAGCGTGTAGACAGACACCTTGTCAAGGGATGCACACTTGCAGACATTTTCTTGGAAGCAATTCTGTAAGTGCTCACTTTTATTTGACTTCTCATGTTTAGTTGTATTTTACAAATTTTACAAACTGTTTTTCCAGTAGGTTTAGAAGAATCCAAGGCTATTACTCAAGGGGACACAAATTTGGGAAACTGAAGAAGTGTTATTTGTTTCTGTAGAGACTCAACATCATTGATCCTTCTTGATATTCTCTTGCCCTCCTTTCGTTAGGGAATATTTGCTAAAGATATTCATGGTAGCACCATTCCCTTTGCTGCTTTTTAGCGTGCAGTGCATTGTCTCTGCAGCAGGAGCTACTGCTTTTCATATAAGATGCTTCATCCATTAAAAGAAGCTTTGGCCCTTCTGTACAATCAAATTCTCCTTTGAACAGAAGGATTTTACTTAATAAATGAACTGGTTCACTTAAATCTCTATTTGTCTGATTTTGAAATCAGCAATGTTACAGATTAGGGTTGCATCTTAAAACTATAACTGCAGCACATTGCAGTTCAACAGCTGGAAAGGCACTCTGAAACATATGGTGCAATTTCTAAGTAAAAATTGTAAAAAAATAAAATGAAGACAATGCTAGACCTAATTCAGGGTCTCAGTATTTGAATGCAGACAAACTGCACAGTCTCTAAGTCTTTCAAAAATGCTAATGTATTAGGAAATAATCCTCATTTTTATAAAATCTGGCATATAATTTTAAAGAAATCTAAGATACAGAAAATAATAAGACTACAATTCTGAAGAGGAATAGAGAATACAATAATACCAAGAGGCAGAGGTCAGAGTATGGAAAAATCTTTTCATGTTTATCATCAAAAGAGTGACGGGAATTAAAAAAAAAAGAGAGACCCTGCTGTATGTTCTAAAAGAGCAGAGTACGGCGACCACAAGTTAATGGTGAAGACAGAGAAATGGTTCATTCTAAAGAGAAAGCACATTCCTTAAAAGGAAAAACTGCTTTGATAATTGCAACTTTGGAAGACAGAAATCATGATTCTTATTTGACTAGAATCCAGTAACTTTTCTGTTACTCTCATCTGAAAACAGTAAATAAAGAGAAAAATAAATGAGTTTGTATATGATCCCTCAGTTTCTTTCATATACCTCTGCAGCAAGAAAGATTTAAAAGTAAGATATAAAAAAGTAAAAACCAGTTGGACTGTGATAGTGGTGCACACCTTTAATCTCAGAACTAGGGAGGCAGAGGCAGGTGGATCTTTATAAATTCAAGGTCAACCTGGTCTACAGAGGGAGTTCTGGGACAGTCAAGGCTATACAGAAAAACTCTGCCTTGAAAAACAAAACAAAATAAAAAAGTAAAAACCAGGGCTAGAGAGATGACTTAGTAATAAGAGCACTGGTTGCTCTTCCAGAGAACCCAAATTTGAGTGAGTCTCAATAGCCACAGTAGCTCACAACCATATCTACCTATAACTCCAGTCCCAGGGGAGCCAACATTCTTTTCGGGCCTCTGCAGGCATTACATACACCCAGTGCCTGGACATACATGCACGTAAAACACCCAAGCATATAAAATAAAAGTTTTTTTAAAAGTAAAAACCACAGTTGCATTTACATTGGATTAAAAACACTATGTCCTCTAAATAAACAAACAAATTCTAAAAAAACACAGATACTAGATTACAGAGGAGGATACATTAGGGTATCTAGCTACCAAGCATAGCAAGTATAGTTTTGACACAAAATTTAATTTACTTAAATATAAGAGTTTAGCACTATTTGGCATGAGAGACTACTGATGACTTCATAATGATCATGGGTTCTGGAGACCTTGGTCTTAATATTTTCTTCCTGTTTAATTCAGGACCTTGTCTGAGTTTTGTTCATTTGGAATTTTGGGTTTACTTCTGGATTATGAAAAAGACCCTTCTAATGGTATTATAGAAAAGTCTTTTAATCTAGCCAAAAATATACTCGGAAACTACATATAATCAATGTTGTAATTAAAAACTAGCTTTTACTTACTTTGAAAAATACGAGCTATAACATAAAAACTATTTATTAATTTTAAGTTATCATATAAAGTGATGAGTTTCACATGTCTGCTAATGTGATTACATTTCTAGCACTGCCCTCTGATCAGCATGTATTAATTTATATGTGCATTTCGATTTCTAGGCAAAACCTATCATGATTTACATATTGCTTTATAATCTAAGGACTAAATTCCTCTAACATAGAAATGATAAATCTCAGGCATTTTTTAACTATTTGTATCAAATTTTGATTTTTTAGACGAAGGCATTACCCATCACTTTAAATACTGTTACTTTTATTTCAACTGGTCCACTGTGACAACTAGAAAAGGTAAGATACCAACCATCTGCATTTTCCAGCTCCATCCAATACATTCTGCTGTTTTTACCCAAAAGCTTAAAAACAAAGACTTAACTTAAATACCATATATAGTTTTAATATTAAGTATATGTAATTCTGTTCTAGCTCCTGTGACAAAATTCAAGAAAATCTGGTATAAATGAGTAACAACTCGACATGCATCCAGCCCTCCATGGTTTCTACCACAGTTTTACCCATCACTTACATGTTTTTGTGTGTTGTTGGTCTCTTTGGAAACTCACTTGCTCAATGGGTATTTTTAACAAAAATAGGTAAGAAAACATCAACACATGTCTACCTGGCAAACCTTGTGACTGCAAACTTACTTGTGTGCACTTCCATGCCTTTTATGGGTACCTATTTCTTGAAGGGTTTCTATTGGAAATATCAATCTGTACAATGCAGACTGGTCAATTTTTTGGGAACCCTATCTATGCATGTAAGCATGTTTGTCAGCCTCTTAATTTTAAGCTGGATTGCCATAAGCCGTTATGCTACCTTAATGAAAAAGGAATCCTTGCAAGAGGCCACCTCATGCTACGAGAGAATGTTCTATGGTCACTTATTAAAAAGATTTCGCCAGCCCAACTTTGCCAGAAAAATGTGTACTTACATATGGGGAGTTGTGCTGGTCATAATTATTCCCATTATCCTATACTACTCAGTTGTAGAGGCTACAGAAGAAGGAGAAGGACAGTGCTACAATCGGCAGACGGAATTGGGAGCCAGCATCTCTCAGACTGCGGGTCTCATTGGAACCACATTTATTGGATTCTCATTTTTAGTAGTAGTGACATCATATTATTCTTTTGTCAACCATCTGAGAAGAGTAAGGACCTGTACCTCCATTACAGAGAGAGATTTGACCTACAGATCTGTGAAAAAACATCTTTTGATCATTCAGGTCCTCTTAGTTGTTTGCTTTCTTCCATATAGTATTTTTAAACCCATTTTTTATGTTCTGCACAAGAGAGGAGACTGTCAGCAGCTGAATTATTTAATAGAAGCAAAAAATATCCTCACTTGTCTTGCATCAGCCAGAAGTAGTACAGATCCCATTATATTTCTTTTATTAGATAAAACATTCAAGAAGACACTATATAACCTCCTTCCAAAATCTTAATTCATCACATATGGTTGACTTTTGCATGGAAACCACCACAAAATAGAAAAGCATTCATGTGACTCTATTAGTGACTTTAAATTAAATGATGAACACGTAACAGCTTGGTTGACAATGGGCACCAAGGAATTTTTTTAGTTTTATGAACAAATATAGGCATAAAATTGGACTTAGAGTTCTACTTATACTGAAAGTTGAGATGGCAGAGACTTTCAGAAGCAAGTTGAGTACATCAAAAAAATTCTACTGTATATGAAATCAAACAAACTTTTTCCTGTTTTCAGTCAACTGCGGATCTTCTGTCCAATACACAATATTTTATGACTTGAAGGATAAAAAAGCAAAAGGCTTATGGGTTTGCTTCCTTTCTAACCTAACACATTAACCCATCTATGGTTAAATTTTATCTTGTTGACAACTTTAAAAAAAGAATTAGAAACGGAAGGACTGGAAAAGTCAACCAGTAAGAAATATCTTCATTTACATCCTATCTAACTGCATGAATAGTGCATTGTAAAGTCAATTTAGTATTACCTGGCTTGTTTTACTGTGAAAGCCAACATTCAATGATTCTAATATTTAATAAACAGATTTCATTTACAAATATGCTTAAACATCTGAATTATACCTTGTCAAAATAAAAAGCAATATAATATATAATTATATGCCAATCTTCATGCTATTTTAATATATTTCCAATATAATGTTATTATTAATGACAGTACCTGCCATATAGTTATGTTCTTTAATTTTTGTAAACTAAATGAATGAATGGTAAAGAAGTGTAATCTTGTCATATAAAAGATTAGCCTGTGGATTTAAATTATCTGGGTTCAGTACTGGCCCCATCTCTTATTTAGCTGGACAATCTTCGGCAAATGACTTACCCTCTTTACATGTTAATTTTTTAAATTGTGGAACAGAAAATATGATCTGATTCATATCATTATTATTAAATCAGATATTGTTACTATTGTGAGCTAGTAGCCAGTACTTGCTGTGTGTTAAGTCCTCTGTGTATATGCTTCATGAGTAGAATTTTAATAATTATGACAATAAACATGTTAATGTACTACTGATGAGAAAATCCTGACGCATAGTTAAGAGGTCATCTCAATCCCTCCAGTATATAAGTATATTTAAGAAGTAATTATTTCTTAGCGATCATTTCTTCCATGTAATCTTGCCAGTAAGAAAAATAGTAATTATATTCTGTATTATATACATTATGATTAAAAAGCAAAAATAAAAACTGTGTTCCCCAAATTATCATAAGCTCCACTGGAGCTATAATATATCTTCTTTTTCTACTTCCATTCTTTTCTCACAAAAAAAAACCAAAGAAAAGAGTTGAGTAAAATCTTATCCCTGTTAGACACTGCTTAAAGACTCATTTTCCTCTCACCCATATGGGAATCACTTCGGTGTTAAAACAAGTTTACATTAAGTTCATGTGATACTACAAATCTTTAATTTCAAGGCTGGTTTTGTTCCTGAACTAGAAGTGTAGAACAGATTTTCTAAGAGCTATGTGCTCAAATTACCAGACATTTTGTGTAATTTTTATCAAAACCCAATACAGAAACATACCCAGTAAATTCTTGTTATTTTTATTTCATTCTTTAACTGAGAAATGAAAATATCCAAAGTTCTAACACATTCTGGCATCAGGTATTAACAGTGTATATCTATTCTGTGTATGTGTATGTGTTTGTGTGTGTGTGTGTGTGTGTGTGTGTGTGTGTGTGTGTGTGTGTTGGGGCATGTGCTTGGGTGTGGCAACTGTTAAATTCAGGTCTTATTCCTCAGAAGTAGTCACCCATGTTAATTTTGAGAGAGGGTCTCTCACTGGGACCTGGGGCTTGCAGATTACATGAGGCTCACTGGTCAGCAAGTGCCAGGGATGTGCCTGTCTCCCCAACACTGGGATTATGTGTCACTAAACCTATCTTTTTATTTGGGTTCTGGGGACTGAACTCAAGGTCTTGTGCTTGTGTGGCAAGCACTTCACCAACTGACTTATCTCCCCAGCCTGTGTACCCATTCTTTAATAGTACTGATTGAATTTTTGGTTCAGTAACTTGCAGAGACAAAGAAGAATTGGAAATTCCTGGTGACTTTCTTGTGTGCAGTTTGAAAACTGAGGTATCTAATGTAGTAGATATGCAAATCACAGAGTAACTCAAAATTGACTGGGAGACTGCCTGAGATGCTCAGATGTCTCCACAGGTACAACCTTACATGAGTTTTAAACTCCAAACTCATTAGACTAAGAGCAACTGAAATGATCATAATTTTTATGGAAACTATATCACATTAATAACTCACTGCAGTAAGAGTTTAAAACATATATAAAACTTTAAAAAGTCATTATTTAAAAAATCACTTCCCAGGGCTGGAGAAATGACTCATCTGTTAAGAGTACTGGCTACTCTTCCAGAGGACCCGAGTTTGATTCCCAGCACACATATTGTGGCTCACGACTGTAACTCTGGTCCCAGGAAATCCAATGCCCTCCAAGAACACCAAATTTACATGGTACACAGACATACATGCAGGCAAAACACCCAAACGCATAAAATAATTTGAAAAATCACTTTACAGGCCAAGCATAGTGGTGCTTTAATCCCAGCACTTGGGAGGCAGAAACAGGCAGATCTCTGTGAGTTTCAGGCCATCTAAGGCTACATAGTGAGACCTTGTTTTTTAAAAAAAGTCGCTTTACAGCTCTATGCACTATGTTACAGATAAATGATATTACCAAAGCAGAATTACTTATATTTAAAACTGATATGATAAAAGGTACATGATTTCTTATCAAATTGCTCATTTTGATAGAAATGGAAGCTGTAATAAATTAAATGTTGCGTTTATTCTCAACACGTTAGTCTTTACATGATTTCCTAAACAGGTAACTATTGTACTGAATTTTTCTTAGAAATTGAAGAATTGGTTATTTAATATCATAGAAAAATATTTTATATAAAGTATCACTTTCTAAATCTACCCTAATTTTAACATTTGTATTTTAGAAATCTTAAGCAATATTTTAACTATAGAAAGCAGGCACGATTTTCCTCTCCTTCCCTCCTCATACACAGTCTCCTTAAGGCAACTGTGAAATTATAAACTAGCAATTCAAAGCATTAAATCTGGACAAACAGAATTCATTATACACTATTTAATCTGAAGCAAGTCAGCCCTTTTTGGGTAGGAGAGGAAGATGGAACATGGTTCTGATTTGGTGAGGTCTTCCTGATCTTGCAGTCTGTCAGGATGGGAGCTATGCTGGATAAGTGGGTGAAAGGAAAGCCTGCAGGTAAACCACAAAGGGAACATTGATAATTTGCTGAGCATTTCGGTCATGTAGCCTAAAGTTGGGATTGCCATGTGATAGCCCCTACCCCACTGATACCATTTCAAAAAGTTACTGCAGATAGAAAAGTTTTATAATTAGTGTTAAAACCTGATTGGCTATATGACACATGACTCCCTGGGCTCAGGTAAGGAGTAATGGAAGAAGCTACTTCTAATAAGCAAAAGAAATATTCATCCTTTAAAGACCTGTGGGACTTTTTTAAAATCCCAATGATTAAGAGCTTATAATCCAGTGAAATGTGTACAAGATGCCCAAGGACCTTATAAGAGTGATGCTCATCATGGGGACCTTGTGGGAGGGTTGAAGGGGAGAGGAAAGGCAGGGAGGAGAGCAGAGAAAAATGTAGAGCTCAATAAAAATCAATAAAAAAGAAAATAAAGAAGAGTAATGCTCAAGTACTAATTATCAGTATGCTTCTTAAAATAAAGACAGAAAGGGAGTGGATCTTATGGGAGGGGGGGTAGAGAGAAACTGGGAGGAATTGGGAGGGGGAAACTGTAATCAGAATATATTGTATGAAAAAAATCTATATTCAATTAAAAAAGTAAACTGGTTTGAATAAGAATCAATTCTTTAAAAGAGAATACAACACAGGGGCTTTTGGAGTTGTGGTAGCTGGTGTAAAGGAAATGTTAGCGAGTGAGCACAAGAGGAAGGGATATTTCAAGAAGTCAGCACTGCTACAGCAAGCCCTGGTTATTGTAAATGTGAAGAATGCACATTTCTAATAAAGTCAGGCACTCAGCAGGTGAAAGGAGAACTGAGAGCAGAAGGGGACCAAAGAGCAGTCAGACGTGCTGACACAGGCTGCAAAGGAAACCACCGAGGAAGCGCAGGCAGAAACACTGAGGCAGGAGGCCATAGGCTGAGTGTATGTGCAACTGAGGCTAGCAGTTTTGAGAACTAAAAACCGAGCTCCCAAACCTCCTGGGCCAGGCCCTGCTCAGAATGGAGAGTGGTTGTGCGTGGTAAACAGTCTGCATGCTCAACACCTGCTTTTCTTCGACTTCAATTCCTGAAGATGTACCAGCGTGAGAGATACAGAGGGCTGAGGAATACCATGTCTCTGCAAACCAGGCAATGCTTTGGGATTCAGGGGAGCTGAGAGAAGTGGGCCAGCTCTCCCAGAGTCAACCAAGTAGCCAGGAACTGCACTGACCTTGACAATGGTCTGATTTCCCTCCGAAGTATTTTGAATTTAGGGGTAAGAAGACTAAAGGGGGCAATATCACTGAATCACAATGGAAATTTGCCTGACCTTTCACAAGATAAAGAATTAAAGAGAAGAAGATGGCAAGAGAAAAAAACAAAAACAAAACAAAACAAAAGAAAAAACAGAATATGTAAGCCTCAGTGCCCACAAGGAGGCAAACCACAAACAATATAATACTACAACAGTGGGTCTTAACAGGGGCTGTTTTATACCTCAGGAGACATTTCTGGTTGCCGTAGTCTGGAGGGCTGGAGATGTTACTGGTCTTTAATGAACAAAGGCCAGGGTACTTCTTAAGCATACTACAATATCCTAGACCGCTTCCCACACTAAGTGTGAAATTCCCAATCTTATGCATGACTGCTGGGATATCCTTCATTATCATGACATGGCTTCTTAAATTAAAAAAAAAATAAAAATACAACTTCTTGAGAAACTGCTTCTCCAAAGCAAGCAGCTTCCACTATGGTTATGTGGTACTAAATGCTCAAATCTAACCAAAATACCTCTTTTCAACTTAATTATGATTTCCAAAGGAAACACTCACTAAGTATAGGAAAAAGTATGATTAATCAATATAAAATCTACCGCTTTTAGATAATCAGGTAAGGCAGGGATGAGGAAGGAGAAAGAAAAGGGGGAGGGAGAGGAGGAAAGGGAGGGACGGAGGGAGGGAGGGAAGAAAGGAGAGACGGAGGGAGAGAGAGAGAGTCTAAAGTTCTCTCATGTAAGTAAAGAATTGCCGTGGTCTTTATTTTCTTCATTAACTAAAAAGGATGTAAACAAACAAAACATTTTAACTGTAGAAATCAAAATATACACCCCCCCCCACACACACACAGAGACAAATCACTGACTTGGATGCAAAAAAAAATCCTCGATAGGCTGCTTTAGTGGTAAAAATAATAACATAATAAACCAAGCTAAAATTTAAACCATTACTTGTGTGAAATATATTGGTATTGCATGTGAGGGCACAGCTGAAGGATTTCTGGCTATATGGATGTCCTGAGATCTAACAGGCATGAAGGCTTTACAATGACAAGCAAGCAGGGTCACTCACTAGAACAAGCACTTGAATCTCACTAAGTTTAGTTAAGTTACTAAAGTATTAGGAAATTCTCTTGACACAGCCTTCAAAGCACAGCTGCAACTAAGTGCTCTTTCTGTTTTTCTTTTCTTTTTGGCCACCTGCAATGCTCCTACTCTGCTCTAAGCCGAGCACAATCATCTCCAGTCTCTATTCTGATTTTTGATCACTCTGCCTGGGTCTTAGTGACTTCTATGCTGCTTGTCCAAGCAGGACACTTGTGTTCATGCCTTTACTCTTAGGTATCGGCTCAGCATACTTCCTCTAGTTTCTTCAAGTCTCTGCTTGGGTGCCATGTCATCTCAGTGTGTCTGCTTTGACAACTCTATTTAATCCTGTAGCTCCTTCTTCTGCATCCCCTCTTCCGCTTATCCCCTCCCTTCCTTCTTCTCTTCTCTTCTCTTCTCTTCTCTTCTCTTCTCTTCTCTTTTCTTCTCTTCTTCTTCTCTCTCTCTCTCTCTCTCTCTCTCTCTCTCTCTCTCTCTCTCTCTGAGACAGGGTTTCTCTGCATAGCCCTGGCTGTCCTGGAACTCACTCTATAGATCTGGCTGGCTTCAAACTCACAGAGATCTGCCTGCCTCTGTCTC